GGCAGGTGCCTGTAGTCCCAGCTACTCAGGAGGCTGAGGCAAGAGAATCACTTAAGCCCAAGAGTTTGAGGTTGCTGTGAGCTGTGATGGCACAGCACTCTACTGAGGGTGATATAGGAGACTCTGTCTCACATAAATAAATAAATAGTACACATGACTGGGCATGGTGGCTCATGACTGTAATTCCAGCACTTTGAGAGGCCAAGGCAGGAGCATCCAGCCAAGAGTTCAAGGCCAGCCTGGGCAACATAATGAGACCTCTGCCTCTACAAAAAAAAAAAAAAAAAAAGCCCAAGAGCTGGAGGGTGCTATGATCTGATATCCCACAGCACTCTGCCGAGGGCGACAGATTAAAACCTTTAAAAAAAAAAAAAAAAAACAAGGAGGGAGGGAGGGAAGGAAGGAAGGGAGAAAGGGAGGAAAGGAAAAAAATTTAGCTGACCATGTTGGTGTGTGCCTGTAGTCCTAGTCTATATGGGAGCCTAAGGCAGGAGGATCACCTGAACCCAGGAACTTGAGGTCACAGTGAGCTATGACTGCACCACTGCACTCTAGCCTGGGTGACAGAGGGAGATCCTGTCTCTAAAATATATAAATAAAGAAATAGTACAGGTGATGCCTGGACACGAAAAGACTTCTGCTCATTGGTAGGCAAGAGATTGTCCTTCTTGCCTGTGCAGCCAGGGCTGGGCATGGCTCCCAGCAGCTCCCTCTGCACACCTGGGCTCGGGCTCAACTTACAGCGAGGTCCCTGGGGAGCCAGGTGTTTCAGAGGCTGGCTGGTCCCTGGGCCCCAACACCCAGTGCCAGGAAACCACAGTTGCTGTGGTGACCACTGAGCTCTCAGGGCTTGGAGCAGGGAAGCAGACTTCCATGCCTGGAGGAGCCAACATCCAAAGGCTGTCGCAGGGACGCCACTGTCTAATGTCCACACATTAGCACCTGCAGATTAAGGAGAGCAGCTCTCCAGAGGCACTGGAAGTGGTGGAGGCTGCAGGTTGCCAAGGGGGCCTTGGGAGTTGAGACAGGTGCCCCACTTCAGATGGCACTGCCAGGCTGGCCTCCCAGGAAAGTGTGAGGTCTCTGAGCCCCAGTCTCTTTCCTGGGGAAGAATTATCGAGGTGGCCAGGCAGCAATGAGCACGGGCCCCCTCAGCCCAGGCACCCGCCGGCGGCTTCTCCAAGGTCAGGTGGGCTCCCTCCCAGCACCTCCAGCAAGTGGTGTGGCCATCTTCATCAGCTCTGCAGTCTCAGGTAAGGAGCAGGGCAGAGCTGGGGGATTAGGAACATGTGGGCATGGCTCACAGAGACCTGGATACAAATGCAGCTCAGCTAGTGACCAGTGTGGGAACCAGTGAGAGGGAGCTTCCTGGGTCCTCTGTTTCCTTCTCGATAAGCCAGACTGAAAGCCAGACTGGATAGAGGTGCTATGACTGGCACATATATTGCAACTAACATTTCCAAAAGTTCTAAGTCTTGGCACGGCTACGTGGCCTTGTGTGGCTAGACCCTGCTCACCTCCCCACCTTTATCTCATTGTCTTCTCGGCCATGTTTTCTTGTATTCACACTGGCTTCTGGCAGGTCCTGAAACTCATGAAGCTCGGAACTCCATATCAAAACCTTTACCTTCTGAGTTCCTTCTTTTCCTTCTTCCCATCTTTTGGGTCTTAGCATAAATACCCCTTCCTCAGGGAGCCCTGGTCTGTCCCCCAAACTGAAGTAGGTTTGTCCTTCGCTATTCTCTAGCACAGCTCCCTCATGTTTCCTTGACAGCGTTCTTCATAAATTCCAATTATGTATGTCTGTATTTTTTTTAATTTCAATCATTTATGTGTCAGCTCCTCAACTTTGTTATAAACTCTATGAGGCCAAAGAGTAGTAGAATGATGTCCCAGCAACATAGTCTCCAATTTTTAAGAAAATTTGATTTGTATCATCTGCCAATTTCTGTGGTGTAAATACTCCCACCATGGTCAATTTCAAGCTACCAACTGACTCCACATAAACCCAGAATTAGGCAGAGCTGTGCAGTATCACACCATTATCTAAAATTCCCATTCTACCAAGTTAATATCTGTAAACACCTCAAGTGCAGTGTTCATAGTCAAATGTAGTATAATAATTTGGAGGTAATGAGTTTTGACTATTTTCTATGTCTGTTTTGAGTATAATGTATTCTATTGTAAGTTCCACTTTTAACTTTTACATTAATTTAATTTTTAATAACTTTGTGTTCACAAGTGGCTCATGAAATTTCTGAAGAGTAAGCCATCAGCTCTCCCAAGACAGTAGGGGCCAACTGTAGCATATCACATTGATTATATATGTGTCTTGTTTGCCATTATGCCTCAATGTTTAGCAAGGGTCCAGGTACAAAATAATAGCCTAATTTAAAAAAAATTGGTTTTTTTGAGACAAAGTCTTACTCTTTCGCCCTGGGTTGAGTGCCACGGTGTCATAGCTCACAGCAACTGCAAACACTTGAGCTCAAGTGATCCTCTTGCATTAGCCTCCTGAGTAGTTGGGACTATAGGCACCTACCACAACACCTGATTAGGTTTTTTTTTTCTATTTTTAGTAGATGGGGTCTTGTTGTTGCTCTACTTGTTTAGTAGAGATGGGGTCAGGCTGGTCTTGAACTCCTGAGTTCAAGTGATCCACCAGCCTCAGCCTCCCAGAGTGTTAGGATTACAGGGGTGAGCTACTGCATCTGGCCCCTAATAAATATTTTATGAATACTTTTAAATAGCCTGTGGAGTCTGTAAGGCAGGCATGATTATACCACGTTTCCAGATGAGGAAAGTGATGAAAATAGGAGACAGATCCCAGACTAGTGTTCAGGTCAACTCCAGCGCTGGGATCCTGATAGCTTTCCTTTTTTTCTCCCCGCCCCCATTTATTAATTTACATATTTTTGGGGATGAGGAATCTTACTATGTTGCCCAGGCTGGTCTCAAACTCCTAGCCTCAAGTGATCCTCCCACCTCAGTCTCCCAAGTAGATGAGATTATAGGTGTGAGCTACTGTACCCTGAAGCTTTTTTAAATTTTATTTTTTGGAGGGGAAGCCTTTTTGGACCAGCAGATTTGGAGAGCCCCTTGCACGGACATTATAATGACCTCTCCGCTGGCCACCTGGGGATAATAAATGTTTCTTCAATACCCCCATTGCCCGCTGTGCTTTTACTTATAGGATTCACTGATCTGACCAACATTTTCTGAGCTCCTTTGTTGAGTGCTAAAAATTTAGCAATGATTAAGGCAAGCAGCGGTTCTTGCCTTTGGGGAGCTTCTAGGCCTGCAAAGTAGAACCATTACTCCCATTTTATAGAGGGGGAAACTTAGGATAGCCTGACACTTGGGACAAGGCTACTCACAAGTGAAGTCAGTGGTGGAGAAGGTCTTAGAATCTGAGTTTACCTGGGTGGGACTGCCAGATTTAGCAAAAACTAACAAACAAAAAACCAAAAACAGTCACAAAGCTAGAACATCCAGTTCAATTTACATCTCAGACAAACCTCAAATCATCTTTTAGTATAAGTATATCCCAAATAGTGCTGGAATAGGATATACTTATGCTAATAAATTTATCTGGAATGCAGATTTGACTGGATGTCCTGTACATTATCTGGCAACCCTAACCCAGGGTTGGTGATCAACCATCCTTCTTAGCCCAGGCTTGAGGTTTTTCCTGGGATATGGATTATATAGAGAGTAAATCCCAGTAAAGTCCCAGGCAATCCGGGATGATTAAGCTTCCTGGGTTTACTACATGTTGTTTTTGTATCTTGATTCACTGTGTGAAGTTCTCCAGCCTTAGTGGGTAGTGGGAGGAGGAGATTAATGAGGTTCAAAGTATCTGCGGAGCTGGGAAGATTCTGGGTTCTTCCTCTAATGCCCTCCATGTTCTTCCTTATAGATATGGATGCGGAGAGGGAAGCTCTGCAGAGCACTGCCTACCCTGAAGTGCAAACATTCTGCCAGAAGCACGGCTTGATGTTTGAGGTACAGGAAGTCACTGGGCTCCAGGCTCTGTTCAGTGCTTTCCTATTGAGTCTTGAAATTTGTAATCACACACACATATATTTTTTTTTTCAAGACAAGGTCTTGCTCTGTTGCCCAGGCTGGAGTACAATGGCACAATCATAGTTCACTGCAGCCCCAAACTCCTGAGTTCAAGCAATACTCCCACCTCAGCCTCCCCAATAGGTGGGACTACAGGCACACACCATGACATCTGGCTAATTTTTCTTTTTCTTTTCTTTTTTTTTTTTTTTTGCAGTTTTTGACTGGGGCTGGGTTTGAACACACCACCTCTGGCATATGGGACCGGCGCCTTACTCCTTTGAGCCACAGGCGTCACCCTAATTTTTCTATTTTTAATAGAGACATGGTCTCACTCTTGTTCAGTCTGGTCTCGAACTCTTGACCTCAAAAGTGATCATTCCACCTCAGCCTCCAAGAGTGCTGGGTTTATGGGCATAAGCTGCCCAGTCCTATTGTTGCTGGTTTTATCCTGCCCTTGGAAACTCCTGCTTTGTACACACTGGGGCAGCTTCAGGAGGAGTATAAGAGGGCTGCAGGATGTGGTGAGTGGGTGTGGAGATCAGACAGGCACTTTTCTGGAGCACTAATGATATACCTGCTGGACACACCCACGATGGCCCCCAAACAGTGTCTCCTTTTTTGCATCAGTCCCTGGCAGGGGATGTTGTCCCCTGCATGTTTCCATGTGGAAACTGGTGAATCATCTTCGGAGTTTCACCTCAAGTAGAGGCTACCTCCTTGCTATTTATGACAGTGATCAAAGTCCCCCTTGATTAAAGATATGCTGTCATTTATATGTTTATTACTAAGAAAGAAGCGGTGCTGGCAATGCCACTCTGCCTAACATTCAACATGAGAAATAGTTCAATGTCAAGAGACACCAAAACAAAAACACTGCACTAAGTGAGAATTGATGAAATGCTCCATGTTGCTCTCTTTAAGGCCCTTGCTGGGACTCACAGGCAGATGCTGTAACTATCCTGAATACCCATGTGGGGATGCCAGAGGCTGATCCTCGGCCCACTTCCTTTCCTGTTCCCATAACTAATTGTTCCTTCCCCTCTTCCTCTAGTCACATTCAGTACTGCTGGCCTTTCACCCCACACTGTAGTAGATTAGGAATTTATGTGTCTTTCTCTCCCTGCTAAGGAATACAAGAGGGCAGGGACCGTTCTGCATTGCCTTTGTATGCCCCTCACCCCAGCCCGCTGCAGCATCAGCTTTGCTGACTTGAAGGGAACTATTCTGCCCAGCCTCCCTCTGGCGAGCAGGCAAAAATGGACCAAGCATGTGGTTGCCAAGGAGACCTTGCTCTGTCCAATTCTGGCCCAACTAACCAGCCTCTTTTGCAAAGAAAGCTCTGCAAACAAGTGTGGACTTGTCTTCACTTTCAAGAGGACAATCTGGAAATGCCCAAGTTTCCTTTAAAGAAAAAAAAGTTTTATCAAATGTTTATATTTTTACTCTAAAACTTTATTTATTTAAATGCCTTTTAATGTTTATTTTATTATTATTATTTTTTGAGACAGAGTTTTGTTGTTATGTTGCCCAAGTGGCTAGTGTCAAACTCCTGGACTTAAGCGATCCTCCCACCTCAGCCTCCTGGGTAGCTGGGACTATAGGCGCGTCCCATCATGCCCAGATAAATGTGGTTTTTAAATAAACTTTGAGTTTGGAATTTAGATTTACAGGAAATTGGCACAGACTGTGCAGAGAGTTCTTGTATACCTCCCACCCGGTTTCCTGTAGCTCCTAATATCTTGGCTAGCCGAAGTATAACAAACTATGTTATCATAGTTTAAATTACAACCATCAAACCAACATTGGTACATTGCTATTCAGACTTTTCTCAGATATAGCCGGTTCCTCCACCTAAACCCTCTTTCTGGTGAGGAGATCACATTGCATTTATCTGTAATGTCACTCTAGTCTCTTCTGATCTGGGACAATTTCTCAGTCTCTTAGTTGCTCCTGACCTTAGCAGTCTTAGGGAGGACTGGAAGGGCGTCATGCAGATTACCCTGCCCCCAATCTGGATCAGTTGATGTTTTTCTCAGGTTGACACCAAGGTTATGGGTTTTGTTTAATTTCTTTTAATCCACATATCCTGCTACAGGGATAGACTGTCAAAAACTACTGAAAGAAGGTTTATTCTTTTATTAAAGGGAATTGAAAAAAAAATCACCTCTCATGCTACCCCCTTGACAAAACTAGTGCTTGTAATCTCCAGGTGGTTGATCTGAGGTGGGGTATTCAGAACACTGAGGCCACTGACTACCTCACCACGGAACTGTGCTTGGAGGAGGTTGACCGGTGTCGGAGAACATCCATAGGACCCTCTTTTGTCGTGAGTCTCTTGGGAGGGATGGGTTAGCTATTAATGCTCCTTCTAACACTAAGGTATGGTCCCTGTTCCCTAGCCAAGCTGACTAGTGGAGGGATGTGGGTGGCATTTCTGCTATACTTTTTCCATAGCCTGTCCATGACAGACATTGCTAATGGATCACAGCACTCTTTTCTGCAGGGCTAGCTGGAATCCAGGCATTAGCAGTCAAATGAAAGCAGCAGGTGAGCTGGAGAGTAGAGTGTGGAGGAAGGAATCTTAGAATTTGATCTGGACCTTTTCTCATCTTCCCTACTCCATCCACTTTGTATCTGTGGAAATTTGGGATGCTGGAAAACCATAAGGAAGGTAGAAACACAGGGTCTTGGGAATACTTTTTCCCTTCTCTGTGCCAGCTGATGTTTGGTTTTGGAATCTTTTTTCCCCTCCCCCTCCCAACTGCACCCCCTCTGTCACCATCTCAACCTCTGGCCCATAATTAATGGTTTGGTCTATTATTGTTGAATGATATTCCTCAGTCTTAATTTATTACGCCACTAAGTTCCAGATACACCCAAGAACTATGACATTTTGCCTCATAAATCCTAGAGCAATGGCCAGCAAGCTACAGCCCAGGAGGCAAATCTACCACTGCTTACTTTTGTAAAGAAAACTTTATTGGCACACAGGCATGTCCATGCATTTACACATTTTTGAGAGCTGCTTTTGTACTATAATGGCAGAGCTGGGTTGTTTTGATGGAGACCATCTGATTTTCAGACCCCTAAATGTTAACTATCTGGTCCTTTTAAGGAAAAGTTTTCTGACCTCCATCCCAGATAGTAAAGAGAAAACAAGTAAAGCAAGAGGCCAGGCACGGTGGCTTGGTGGCTCAGGCTACTCTGGGATGCCAAGGCAGGAGGAGCCCTTGAACTCAGAAGTTTAAGACCAGCCTGAGCAAAAGCAAGAACCCCCTCTCTACATAAAATAGAAAAATTAGCCAGGTGTAGTGGCAGGCACCTGTAGTTCCAGCTACTAGGAAAGCTGAGGCAGGAGAATGGCTTGAGCCCAGGAGTTTGAGGTTGTAGTGAGCTATGATGATGCCAGGGCACTCTAGCCTGGAGAACAGAGTGAGACTCTTTCTCCTCTCACTCAGCCCCCAAAACGTAAAGGAAGTATTTTTACTCAGTATACCTTACAAGGAAGATTCCAGCAGCTCCCAATAAGAGGAAAAGTCTTCTAAAACTTCTCCTGGAAATAAGGCTGAATATAAGAGAGAGTGTCCCCTTTATAAAAGCTGTTTTTCTAGTGAAATAAAAATTAGTGAAGGTTCTTTGGCCTTAGAATTTCATTGTCCTGGCTTGGTGCCTATAGCTCAACCGGCTAAGGCACCAGCCAC